GTCCTTGAATTTTATGTTTACATTTGTATTCAGATAGAACCTATTACAGAAATCAAGGTAGTATAAACAATGTAACAAACTGCAGTTGGAGCAGTAACCAAAATACAAGTGTCTTGGTGACAAGGACAAGTGTGTGTCTGACTCACCATTGCACCCCCATGCCCAGATGGTTAGACACTCACTAAACATGTGTTGGGGGGAAGAGTGAGTGAACGGTTGCCATATTGTTTAGGGTAACTTGTATAACAAAAAGACCCAAAACACAATGTCTTGGACATAGTAAACGTTACTTCTCCTGTGACCATCTAGAGCAGGAGTTTAGGGCTGGGGAAAGGAGTCGAGGGCTTGCTCCATACAGTATTTCAGGGCCCCAGACCAACTCCCTCTCTGCCGTCTTCAGCAGGTAGCTTCCCAGCACTCTGGTGGTTTTCATCTCCATTCCACCTCAAGGAGAGAGAGAGAGAGAGAGAGAGAGAGAGAGAGAGAGAGAGAGAGCGCGCGAGCGAGAGAAGCGCAAGCAATAGCGAGTGAATGCTGAGGCATGTACCTGGTGAGTTAGTGTCATGACCAGGTCTGGAAGCCACACACATTGCTTCTCATATCATGTTGGAGGCAAGTTGGTCACTTGGTCCTCTCCCATTGCAGAGGAGCCAGGGGATGTGTTCTTGCTCGGCATGTGGCTGTGCAGTCCTGTGGACGAAAAGGATGGAATTAGGTGGTCAGCTGGCAAGCTCTTCCAGAGGCATCTCTTAACAGTGCCAGTAGTTATTTTTTAATATGGGTTAATTTATATAGTTGTAAGCAGTAAAATATACAAAAGGGAGCACAAAGAGATTCAAATCTGCCATTCGTCATTTGTTAATGAGAATATATCAAATATTCTTCTCCTAGAGCCCAAGGTTAGAATAATGAGCCTGTTTTGACTAGAAGCATTCCATGTAGCCGTCAGACTGAGCTGTTTGTATATTGAGAAAAGGCATTTCTTTTTTTTTTCTTTCTTTCTTTTTTCTTTCTTTTAGTGTCCTCTATAAAGGCTTTGTCAGCATTTTACAGTTTTAGAAGACAAATTTGTTTTTGCTCCAAGTGGTTTCATGTGCTTCAGTGGTCAAACAGGTTTTGAGCCTTAGCTTCAAAGCCAAAACAGAGCTGGGGGTAAGAATTGAAAATAAAATCCACAGCCTAAAGCTTTTTTAGAGGCATTTGCTCTTTTTAAATTTGAGGTTCTTTTATAATTTAAAAATATAGTTCTTAAATGTCCCTTTTGACACTCAAAAATTTTCCAAATAAATTATATCATAGCAAATGTGTGTGTTTTGAAAGTCACTCGTAGGACTTACATGAGGCAAAATTTTCTGCATTATAAATGAGGCTTTACCTGACTTTGAAAAAAAATTCAACTCGAAGCAATTTCATTATATTACAAAGTCATACTCTGTTTTTTGCTATTTCTTAAATTACCTATTTAAAAGATTACAGCTTTAGAAGGCATATTAAAAGTTAATGCAGTAAAACATTTTTGTAAGAATTCTATTGACTTCAACCTTTAATAAATGAAAACATTAATGAGCTGCTTTTATCACACCTAGAGAAGAGTTTTGGACATAAAACAGTTCAAAACCTTCAAACGGCATTGAGCCAGTATTTTCTCATAAGACAAGTACTAATAACAACAACAGAACATTTGAAAGTCCAGTAGCATATTTCTCATACAATGAAAGCATTCTATATTTCAGCCTTCATTTAGACCTGGCCATTACATTCGTCCCTTTCCCCACCTCAAGGAAGTGGAGGAATTACGATATTATCTCTTAATTTTACCTCCCTAAATCCTAGGCAAGAATGGAAGTCAGAATTTATAAAACATTTTGTTCCCAGGGAAATAGGTATTTTCGTTACTGCATTCATAGATCTTTACTACCCTTGTTAGGTTCGTTCTGAAAAAAATTGAGGTAGGTTGCCAGTTGTAACACATTCTTCACATGTTCCTGTTTCCAAAAGGTATAGGAGGGCAATCCAACTACCTTAGCAAAGGAACACTGTGTACTTGCATGCTGCTTTGTAAAAGCAGACCATGAATATTCAACAGTCTCAAATGTGTGGAGGACGGCATGAAAGTAGGAATTCTTATGAAGCTTTAGAGAGGACGACTGAACAGTACGGAAAGTCACCATTTGTCAGTTACATCTATAAAAACTCGGGTCCTTGGGGAGTTCTTAAACATTTGGACCAAACACTTTGAAAAAAGTGGAGTAGGAGGGAGTTGAAGAAGTTACTACTTGTTTTATCCCTGGAGATCAGCTAAACTTTCTCACATTTTCAACTGCTTTTTGCAAAGCTTCCTATTGTATAACATACCTATCTATACTTTCTTTCTTTTTTCTTTTTAATTCTCAAAACCTGTATCAGTTATATCTTGGTTCTTTCTGTTAGGAAAAAAATCAATCTTCTGGCATCGTCCTATGGAAATATCTTTGCATTTATATAATGCTATTATGGCTTATTTTCTGTTCTCCCTTTCTGAATATTTCTTAGCCTTAATCTAAAGATTTGTATGTCTTTGGAAATAGTCATTTGCATATCATTATAAAAGTATGTTATTGACACTGTTTTAAAATGATCTGGTTATGCTTTCTCTAAGAATTCATGTTTCAGAACTTTAGTAAAACCTAATACTATTGCACTAGATCTTGCACTAAAGATTTTGATAATCTATTAAAGATTACCTATGAGAACAAAGATTCTTTGTCATAGATACATCACCCTTTATCAAGAAGATCACTTCCAGGTAATAGGAGCAATTCTGCTTTGGTTAAATGAGAGCCATTTTAAAGAGGCTTCTTGTAACCTAAGCTAGTTAAGCTTTAGAGTCACAAAAACGGGAATATAATTGTCATTTTTTTTAACTTCTCAGGTTTATTCTAAAATTATCTAACGGTGTAAATTATCTCAGCATGTAAATCCTTGCTCAGTAGCAAACACAAACACTGTCTTTCAGTTCCTGGGACATCATCTTCACTGTGGACAAGTAGTAAAATTTTGTCCTTGGGGGTTTCATAGTTTTAGAAAGAATAATAATATCAACAACAACTAATTTTCATTAAATGTAGCAGGTATAATTCTACTGCTTTAACTGTATTATGTCATTTAATCTCATGACCACCCCTGTGTTGAGTAATGTTGCCATCTCCATTTTCCACTTGGGCAAATTGAGGGTCAAGTAGGGTCATATGGTTGCTAAATGATAAAACTAGGATCCAAACCCAAACATTCTGACTCCAGAGCCACCATTATAACTATTATTGAAGGGGCGAGTCGTCGCGGGGCCTATGTGGGCCAGCCGCCGGGCCCCATGAGACACAGCCTGACCACGCTGCTGGCGGATCCTGCCTTGTGGCGTGTTCGAGCGGTGGCAGTGGGAGCCAGGCGAGGACTGCGCCCTCCATCTTGCCTTGGGTCCTCCATTTTGGGACAGTGCCATGTGCTTCACCGGAAAAAGCCGCCGCTAGACCCACCCAGGATTTCTCTGGACTAACCAATGACAATCAAGGGACGTGCGCGCCATAGAGATGACCACATCCTGTGTAACAAGACCCGACTCGCGCCTGGCCAATCGGAGGGGCTCACAGTCCCCTCCCCTGCCCTTACTATAAAACCCCCGGTCCCATCAGGCCTCGCTCTCTCTGCCACTTGCTGCTGTGCCCGTAAGGGGGGGCAGGGGAGCCAAACCTAGGTTTGAAATAAATGACTCTTTGCTTTTGCATCGGACTCGCTGGCTCCCTGGTGGGCCCTTGGGAATCTTGAAATCTGGGCACAACAATTATATTATGCTGTTTCCCTTAGTTTCTATTCTTGGATGAAGCCTAGTATTTTAAACTTTAAGAATTGTAGACAAGTTGGCCAAACCAACATAAAAGAAAAATAATTCATCCATTTACCAAGTCAAAGATTTGTTTTTTATCCTAATTGTATGTTGTTGTTGTTGTTGTTGTTGTATTTTGGAGATTTTAAATATATGTCAGTTTCCCGGGAGTATTGTGATCCTGAATCAAATTTACTTTGTAAAGAGTTTTTCATAATGGGGGGTTATAAATATGTAGGTGAATACATGTTGCTTCATTATGTGTGTAGGTTATTTCAGTGACACAGAATAGGTGAATTATGCTTCGTGACCTTTATTGCAGATATGAATCTTTGAGTTCAATGGTATTCGGATCCAAGTCTCTAAAGCAGTTATGTTCTTGAGTCTGCTAAATGTAAATTTGCTCGTTTGCTTATTTACAATCTTCCTTCATGGGGAATGCTTACTTATTCTGTGCTCAGTCATCCAAATTGTTTGTGGAAAGCATTGCCTGGCATTCACAGAGGCAGTCAAAAACCTTGCAGATATCCCTCCTGATAAGCATTACACCCTCCTGGTCAGCATGAAATACATGCTATTCAAAGTAGGTTTCCCATTTGTATTTTTTATCGTAGCAGATGTAAAGATTAACATTAAAGATTGCAGAAAGGTTAAGACAACCGCATTTCTTTTTATGGGTATTTTACAGCATAGCTATATATTACCCCAGATCATAGTGGCAATATGTATGAAAGTTGTTAAATAAGGAGTGTTACATCAGTTTTTGATCAGTTTCAAGGTCAGATTCCTCTATTCTAGTTCTAATCCCATCCTCATATTCTGACAACCTGAGTTTTGCTATGTTTAGTTATAAAATGTGGAGAGAACCTAACAAGCACACTATAGGGCAAAATGTCCATTTCTATGATGCTGTCAGATATCTTTGTTAAAGAAATGATAAAATTTAATATACACTTTTCTGCAAGCAGTGTATAATAATAAACTGTCATCATTTTACTAGTTTTAACAAACATAGAAATACAAGGACAAGAATTAGTTATATCTACATATTATCTAATTTTTCTGTTTTAAGAAGACTGAGTATGCTTTTGTATATTTCTTACCATTTCTACTGGGCACCCAATGATTTGTTTTGTTACAGAATATGGGAAGTCTCAACTCCACCCCATCTCATGAGAGTGCTAGAACTGATCATATTGAACTGATGTCTGATGACAGGTAATTTTAGAATTTTCTCCTCATATTTTTTATGAGTTTGAATAGATTTTTTTTTTTACTTAATGCAATGTGCATTATAAGAACTAAAATGAGTAGAACTAATGGACTGTATGTTTACCAGCAGTATTTTATAGCAAGGAAAATACTTAGAATAAAAAATCTACCCTGGTGCTATTAAAGCCAAATACCATACTCATGTCTGTATTTCTACTTTTGTTTTATTTTTATTACTTTTTGTTTTCTTTCGGTTTTGAATTTTATAGGAATTTTATTTAGAGCTACTCAGCCTACTTTTAAAGTAAATTATAATTTCAGTGGATGAAAAGCATTGTTATAAAACAGATTGACACTTTGTGACACTTTTTGTTATTGTTTGTAGGAAAGAAAATGAAAAAGACAGTGGCCACAGCCAGCATTTTGAGGTAAGTCGTTAACAAGTAAGACTGTAACTGACAGGACTGTTGGTATATTCCTGAGAGAACACGGGAAGCGTTGTTAGCCTGTCAGTAAGGGGTAATAAGATTGAGGGGCAGGACTGTGATTGGTTAGAAAAGTAAACATGGGGACATTAATATTACTTGAGAAAACGTAAGAATGCCATTCTTTTGCTTTTTCAATTCTTTGATTTTTACTTGCACAATAAACTTGAGTAGCATGGAGATGTCTCTTTAGGTTTTTTCTTAAAAATAAAACAAAACATTGCCCGGCCGGCGCGGCGTGGCTCAGTGGTTGAGCGTTACCTATAAACCAGGAGGTCCCGGTTCAGTTCCCAGTCTGGGCACATGCCGGGGTTGTGGACTCGATCCCCAGTGGGGGGCATGCAGGAGGAAGCCAATCCATGATTCTCTCTCATCATTGATGTTTCTAGCTCTCTCTCCCTCTCCCTTCCTCTCTGAAATCAATAAAAATATATTTCAAAATAAAACAAAACAAAACATCAAAGCTACTGGTTGGGTTTTCCATGATTTTATGCATTTTTAAGTGATTGAAATAGAAAGTGAGTTTTAATGGCTCTCTCACAGGGATTATCTCATTAACTTTCAGATTATCATAAAATCAGTTTGAGTTATTAAATCCAATTCATTTTCTGAGTTTTGTGTCTTATTTTAAGTAGACAAGATGGAAAAAAATGTCTAACTCCATTATGTCGTCTATATCTTAATGTTTCGGTGACTCGCCTGGCTTCCCTGCTGTCCTCGGAGGCCATCACCAGGCGGACCCAGCATTTGGTTCCCTTGCTCCCAATTCTGGCTTCCGGCCCGTGCTCAGCTTCACTTTTCATTCGTGTGTGTGTGTGTGTCCTCTACTACTGCCTCATGCTTCCAGCTCCACCTTTCTTCTTATTGTGTTTTCTTTTTGGCAAGAATTAAAGCTTTTCTCAACCTGGAATCTACTCTTGGTATATTAATTATACATAGAACTCTCCCTCTAACCTAGTGAATCCTAATCTTTGTTAGGCATGGACCTAATACACTGATGGATTTATTCAAGAACTTACATTAAGCTCTACTATGTGCAGGTACTGGGCTAGGAGCTGGGATTTCATAGCAGCTGCAGCCCCTGCCTCCATAGGGTTTTATAATCTAGCAGATTACAGATCTAAAAGCTGTGGACCTTTCCTAGAAAAATGCACATTCATGTAAAAGTCGCCGTAAAAATGCTGGAAATTAATGGCTGTGGGCTTCGCATAATCCTCTATTCAGTTCCAGTCATGGATATACTTCTTCATTAAGCCTGTCAGAGAAGAGTAGGGAAACGCTTCTTTCTGACTTCGCCAATGGCCTCTTTCTGAGCCATTTCTTTCATCTCTCATTTCCAACTGCCTTCCGTGGGACCCACGCAACAAGCTGACATTCTTTTCTTGTCCCTAAGCACCTTTGCTCAGAGCATAGTTTCCCTGGGATATTGTTGTTTTGTTTTCTTCTGGTTTTATCCTTTCTCTGCTCTCTTCCTCTGATCACAGCAAGCACCTACTTATCATGCCATTGATCGTTATTTTAAAGAAAGTTGCTTTGCCAGCCTTCTGGAGAGGTCTTCTCCATTCTTCCCTTGTGTGCCTGTTATTCTTTATGAGCTCAAACCTTTGTGGATGAACTTCATAGCATTAACTCATAAATTCCAACTGGCACACAAACTTAACTCATACTGGACTCAGTTTGCCTTGGGATTTCTGTGGCTGGCTCCCGTGGCCGTGGCTGAATCATGGGGAAAGAATCTCAAATCCTTTTTTACCTGCCAGGACCTATTTTTACATGTGCCACCCATGTGCAGTTACTAATCAGCACCTAGCCCACTGTTGGCACTCCTTATGCATTCGCTATTAATAATCATGGTCATCATAATAATTTTAGCTAGGAGATAAAACTATGCAGTGAGTTAAAATCTAGATTAAGCTCTTGTGTCACCTTTCACACCTGCACCAAAGGAGGAAAAAGACATCACTCCACAAGACGTGGGATTGTGTTTCTACTCACGGAGGCACGTGCTTCTTGCACTGACGGAAATACATCATTCTTGAAGGGCTGTGAAAGACCCATCTTCCTTTTTAAAACTTCTTTCCCTTGTTTGTTTTGTGATTGTTTCCTTTCTAATACATGTAGCACTTTCTAGAACATTATACAACTGAAATAGTTAATGTGTTTTTCTGGTCATACCATAATAATTTCTAAATTTCAGAGATGAAAAATAAATCTAGACTTTGGTTACTGCTCCTCAAATTCTGTTGAGCCAATATTTTCTTTCAGGGCTCCTATAGCATCAGATAGAGATGCCAAAATTTACACGCCAAAATTCACATGACGATGTTTCCAATTTAATTTTCCATTAAGGCAAATTTTTAAAAATCTTTTTTTAAATATGTTTTATTGATTTGCCAGAGAAAGGGAGGGAGAGGGGAGAGGAGAGGGGGGAGGAGGAGAGGGGGAGAAACCCAATGTGAGAAAAAACATCAATCAGTTGCCTTGTAGGTACCCTGGCAGGGAATCAAACCAGCAACCTTTAGGTGCATGGGATGATGCTCAACCGAGTCATACTAGCCAGGGCCATTAAGGCAGATTTTATCTTCGTTAATATTATCTATTAAATTCTCCTTGTAAACTCTCGCTTTCATGCAAGATACAGCAAATGACACCTGTTAGGGAAAGGTGGTTTATCTCTTGTTTTGACCAGAATTTATTTCCATTAGAATAAAGAAACCTGAACTTCAGCCTTAAATGCTCTGTACAGAGAGGCTTGTCTCAGAGTCTGCTTCTCCAAGGCAAATGCAGATAAAATGCAACTATATTTATTAAGTAATCATTTTGCAGCCTTAAATGTGGTTTTGTTTGAATGAATGTGTTGAAAGGTAAAAATGGGCTTATCCTACTGTGTTGTTCATCTTTTTAGTTTCTTATAATTATGCTACTAATCTTACGCAGTCCGCTGCAATCTCAGACGGTGAATGAGAATTATCCATTTTCTATTTTATCTGAGTTTCTTCTTTTTAAAAATTTTATTGATTGATTTTACAGAGAGAGAGAGAGGGAGGGAGGAAGGGAAAGGAGAAAGAGAGAGAGAAACATCAGTTTGTAGTTCCACGTACTTATGCATTCATTGGTTGCTTCTTATATGTGCCCTGACTGGGGATCGAACCCACAACCTTGGTGTGTCAGGACAAGATTCTAACCAAATGAGCTACCTAGCCAGGGCCTTATCTGAGTTTCTTAAATGGATTGTACTAAAATCTATTTGGTGACGTATTGATAATGAAACACAAAGTTGAGTCACTTCAAAATGCCGACACTGTAAGTATGATTTATTTGGGTATGTTCTTTTGTTTATTTTGTTCTATTTTTTATTTTATAATTTTTTTATTGTTGACAGTATTACAGATGTGCCTCCGTTCCCCGCCTCTTTGCCCCTTTCCACCGAGCCCCTGCCTTACCCCAGGCCTTCACCACATTATTGTCTTTTATTTTTAAACTAAACCACTGAAAGGATCCGAAGAGAAATCATCCTTAAAACTAGCAAATTCTAGGTTCTAAAAATTATCCCAGAAAATACAGATTTTTCAGACTTCTGTTTAAATGGAGTCTATACCTTACGCTTCTATTTGATTCCTTCTGATAAGTTATTTTCTATTGTGGAAATATATTATGCTTCAGTATAAAATCCATAATAGTAAAATTATAAATTTATACTTAAATCACTTTGTCAAAAAGCAAACCATGTAAGAATTATTCACTACATGGAAGGGCATTATATTATCTGGGGGAGATTTTATGTCAGTAGTATAAGGTTAATGAAGGTTAAATTCTTCAAAGATACTTTTACATTCTTTTTGTATTCTAAGCCTACTGCTTAGGAGAGCTTAGGAGCATGCCTTCGATAACAAACAAGACATTCATAATAAATAATCCTGCTTCAAAAAAAAATAAAGCAGAAAGAAGGAAAAGAAGAGAAGCGAGGGAGAAAGGAGAGAAGGCAAGGCAGAGAACTAATATTGATCACAAGATCTCAAGTGCAGACTTCATTTTTCCCTGAGAAAGTCTGAGATAGATTCCGAAATAGACCCATTAACAAGTATTTACGAAATGGATGGCTCTGTTATTTCAAATTCACTGTATTTCATGGAAGCTTTAGGATTTTGTTATTGGTTATAATGTTAGAACCAGAAAAACTAAAAGGCTTTACTTGTTTAGATTCATTTCTGGTTCCATCCAGTCTCGAAAGATGACTGAAGCTTTGCAGTTCACATGGATTTTGGAAATTTGTTATGTCCATTTTCCTCTCTTGTCAGGCCAAACAGTAAATATTTATGGTTCCATGTGGTCCTTCTATTAACAGTGTGTGGTTCCTTCCTGTGCAAACTGCATTATTCAGTACACTCTGTGACCTCGACATTCCTGGCTCTGCTAAGCTGTCAGGCTACTTATCTGTGTCCTGTGCAGGGAGGGAGGAGGGTAGGGAAATTGTTCAACTGTTTGAAGCCAGACAAGGAGCAGGATCAATAAAGTCTGGGGATAGGTCACAGGGGTGGGCAAACTTTTTGACTCGAGGGCCACAATGGGTTCTTAAACTGGACCGGAGGGCCGGAACAAAAGCATGGATGGAGTGTTTGTGTGAACTAATATAAATTCAAAGTAAACATCATTACATAAAAGGGTACGGTCTTTTTTTTTTTTTTTTTTTTTAGTTTTATTCATTTCAACCGGGCCGGATCCGGCCCGTGGGCCGTAGTTTGCCCACGGCTGGCGATAGGAAAAGCCCAGCCCAGCCAGATAGATAGACGTAGTTATTTGTTCGTTGACCCTAATGAGGTATGTTACCTGAGGCCCCGGGCAAGGTGAGCTCTCTCATTATTTGTTTGTTAGCAGACTGGGTATTTCTTTTAGAGCATGCATGATAATTGGCACTTATATGTTCAATGTCTGCCTTCCATGCTAAATTCTATTATCAGATTTTTAAGTTGAGGTATAATTACCATATAACATAATATTAGTTTCAGGTCTACAATATGCTTTGACATTTGTATATATTGTGAAATGATCACCACAGTAAGTGTAGTTAATATCCATCACCACATAGTTGTAATTTTTTTTATTCTTGTGGCCATTACCTTGTTAGTTCTTGTCATTCCAGTGCTTAGGACATAGTATGTGTTCAATAAACATGTGCCAAATGAATGAATGCCAAAGGAAGATCGTGGATAAATGCAAATACCATTTCTTTTACAGTTACTCTGGGCTGACTGTTTTTATACATTTTTTTTAAATTTAATCATCACAACAACTTTAGGAAGTCATCTTCTATATTAGAGAAAAGAAGCTAAAGTACAAAGAGGTTTACCCACTGAAGATCTTATAGCTACTAAGGTGGTATTTAAACTCACACCTCTGACTCTGAAACCCACCTGCCATACCATATTGTCTCTCCTAAGAGCCAGTCCATTTATTTCACTACATGAATATTCAGTGTGTTTTCATATGACACAACATTTTGACAAGGGTTTAATGTGTGACATCTCGGTTGAAAATTGTGAAATTGACTTTATGTACTCTCTGATTTAACTGAAGCTATAAGACGTATAAAGAACAAAAGTTGAAACTAAAAATATTTTGGTACTTGAGAATGTCCCTGACATTTTAACATTAATTATCTAGTAGGAGAAACAGACAAGCAAGTAGACAAGTGCAGAATGTATTGTAAGGGCTAGTAGAGTGGAACCGTCTGGCGAGGTGCCTCACCCAGCTGAGGCTGACTAGCGTCTGAAGGGAGAGCTGTTTTCTGCTAGTGAATTGCTACAGAGCCCAGCTTCCCCAGGGGCTGCCCCTGAGCAGCACTGCTGGTCCCTTGTGCGTGAGCGCTGTACCCGCACCAGGAGTCCACTACCTGGTGCAGCTACCGGCAAGGCAGCCATGTCAGGTTCAGAGACCAGTGGAGCCAGCAACTGGGAATCGGGCCTCTGCAGGCAGCAGGCAAGTGAAAGAGCGGCCTCAGGGATGGTCAGAGCACAGCTGGACAGGCTGAGCATGTGCGTGTGCTGGTGAGTGAGTGCTGTGCCAAGTGTGTCCATGGCTGGAGAGCTGGTGCAGGTCTGTGTAGGAGGAACCGCTCCACCGGTGTGTAGGAAATCAGCCAGCAAGTCCAAAAACTCCTGTAAGTCGACATAGGTCTCCATTATGAATGATATCCCATTATATGTGGTACAGTGCACATACTAAATGCCCAAATGGGGTGACCCTGCCTCCAGGTACAATGACCTCTTTGCTAGTCCTCAAAGGCTACAAAATACTCATGCCTCAGGACCTTACACCTGCCTCCCCTCTTCCTGGAGTGCTCTTTCCATCGATGGCTTGTCCACTCATTTCCTTCGTCTCTGTTCATATTGGAAAGGACTTCCCTAACCACCCAATATAAAATAACAGACCTTGCCCCCGCTCTCCAGCCTCCTTACCCTGCTTTATTTTCCTCCATAGTCCATATGGCCACTTGACATGTGCTTTCTGATTAACTGTCCTCCTCTGTACGGTTCATTACACAGCGGCCCTATTTTGTCCACTAAAGTGTTATGCCTGTCTAGCACATAGTAGGTACAAAAAATTATTTCTTAAATGAATGAGTAAATAAATTGCCTTTGTATGCAGCTGACATGTAATGCACAGCCCTGTTACACACATGTAGTTTGTGACATATTATTACTGAGTAAAGTAGTACAATGGTGACGTGATTCTCTTCGTTAGAAGAGTAGAATCTTGCAGAGTTTACTTATTCTTGCATCCCACCCAGGGTGGTACACTCCCCTCTCCCACAGGCCTGGCTCTCAGACTTTCTTTGAACACTGAAGGCGGGCAGCTCACTAACTCACAAGGTGGCCCATTGGTGTATTCCACCAACATTGCCTGGACGTACTCGAACCTGTTCCCCTGAGTGCCAGCTCTCTCCGCGCAGGAAGCTTGCACGTCTTACACAGAGCCCAGCATAGAGGGGGGACCCCAAACCGTGCTGTTGAAGGCATAGGATCCAATTCATATGTTTTGGAAAAAGAAAATGAAGAAAATTTTTTTTAATTTTTTTACTTTGAAATTGGTGCTAATTCAGATGTAGCAATCATAAAAAGTATGCGTTTTTACATTCATTTGTATATGTGTGGAATCTCAGGATTTTACATGTCTGATGTCAAGCTCTGCAGTGCCCTGAGGGAGCAGAGCCAGGGACTGGTTTGGGGAGTAAAGCCTGGTGGCCTGCACAGCCCAGGTCACAGGCCTGTAGGTCTCCTGGAAACACACATTTTGCCATTATTACTCTGTGTTTAAAATCCTTGAATGTCTTTCTATTATCTCCTACAGCATAAAATCCAAACTTAGCCCAGTATACACGGCCTTTCTCAGTCCACCCTCTGCTTTCGCAACACCCTCAGCATCTGCCAACCCCTTTTGTATCTCCAGAGCCAGCCACCAGGAACCTCTTCTTTTGTTGTGACCACGGGGACCCTGCTGCCCTGCCTGCCTTTGTACTTTCCCCTCCGACCCACACTGTCTGCACCCCAGTCAAAACTTCTGTTGCTGACACCTGACGGGAACACAAGTGGTTTTGTTCTCTAATTTTTTTGATAATGCACCTAAAATTCTGCTCTGCCTATCTTATAGCACAGGAGTCCTCAAACTACAGCCCGCGGGCCACATGCAAATACAAGTATTGTATTTGTTCCCGTTTTGTTTTTTACTTCGAAGTAAGATATGTGCAGTGTGCATAGGAATTTGTTCATAGTTTTTTTTAAAACTATAGTCCGGCCCTCCAACGGTCTGAGGGACAGTGAACTGGCCCCCTGTTTAAAAAGTTTGAGGACCCCTGTTGTAGCACATGTCATCTCAAAGCAGGTTGTGTAGGCTCTTCTCCAGCTCCTTTCTCTGGCACTTGGAGACGTGCCAATGTTTTACTCCTCTTCAGAGGGTGCCTGATAGTAATAAAGAATGATCGCTCCGAGCACCCTGCTGGAAGCCTGTCATACCTCCTCTCAGACCTTCAAAGGAGCTCCCCAGATTGGAGCGATTGCCGGGTTGTATAGATCAGGAAATGGAGGCTCAGGGAAGTGAGGTGGCCCAGCCGGGGCACCGAGCTAGTGACCGGCAGTCACACGTCAGACCCCGGTCGGCCGTGAGCAAAGCCCCTGTCTGTCCCACTGCTGCACAGCCCCGGGGGCACGGTCACATTCCTTGTGAAGAAAATGCCAGACTTGCAGCACAGAATCGCATTTCCCATAGTCCTGCCTCTTTATGACTCTTACGTGTAGCAGCTGTCATAAATCTTAATTAAGAAAATGTTTATTTGCTGTATGCAGATTCTAACACACACGCCACACAACGGGTGGCAGATTGGCCCTGTAACTTCTAAAAAGCTGAACACCAGATAAGTCACTCAGCACTGGTTCCTTAGGATTCAGCTCAAGGAATAAGTAATTCTTGTAGTATAAATGCATAATCTGGGGTTTTTCCCCCCACTGGGCAAGCAGCATTTTTGAAGTATCTTAAAGTCCCGGGTTCACTTGGCATTTCTATCTGACGTTAGTAGCTCATCATAAAGCGAGTGATGAGATTTCATTTTATCCCAAATGTGAAGAGAATGCCAGCCCTGGCACATCATTTCATGGTAATAGTAAAAGCTCCGGCTATTCCCCTGGTGATATTAAAGTAGGTTGAATAGCTATTAAAAGTAACTGGAAATGTTAGTAGTACTTTATTTTAAGCATAAGAACATTTCTCATTATGGAATCATTTATGACTTCCAGATGTTTTTGTCTTTTTCATTTAACGATGGTATATTTGCTAAAGTAAATTTCCAGTTTTTCGCAAAGAAAATCTTTGGTACAGGTTAAGTGCTACTTGAGAAATAGGTTTGTGGGTAAACCCTTCTGTTGATAATTTTATGAAAGAGGGGAAAGTGACAAGATACCAAAAGATCTGGGTAAAAAAAAAGAATTCATTTCAGTACAATTTTCAGAACATAAAATCACTTAGCTAAAATCACAGCCTTTCGGGGAGAGTTTCCCTTCCCCCAGATATTCCAGCCTGGTGTAGTTGCCTCCAGTAAGCAAAGCCAAGTGTAGCGGCGTATTTAATACTCAGTGACAGTTGCATATTTGTTAGATATAAATTATGCATCGCTGACTTGCCAGCTCTTGGCTTTTTACTTAAAAAAAAAAAAAAAGTTGTGTTCCCTGTATAATTCTGGCTCATTTCCAGAGTCCATATTCCTTACTGCTAGCTGAGATAAGGTGCCAAACCTCTGTACTATTTGAATTTGCGCAATGATTCTTTAATACCCAGCGCTCCTCCATAAATAACCTGCTCTCCCCACACTCAGGGAGAAAACCACCGCAGGAAATCTGGGAATGTGCCTCGCTCCTCTTAATTGATCTAAGCCTGCAGGGCGGGCAGTGTTCAGTCTCTCTGCTCCTGGCCTTTCGGGACTGTTTATGCAAATGGGGCAAAGAAGTCTGCCGGCAGAAGACACCATGTTGCTCCCACAGCCTTCGCAGCAACGGTAGCGGGGTGGTTGTTTATAGTCTGGAGAGCCAAGCTCCTTTAAGGAAACAAACTCCTCTCCCTCCTTTCTGGCTCCAATCAGTGATCTTCAAGACCGCCAGCCTCCTGCCGTTGTCAGGAGGAGCGGCCCCGGGAAATGAGCTTGTCTTTCTCGCAGAAGAAAAGTTAAATGAGCGCAGACAGACGGACGGTGGCTTTGTGCTCGCGAGTGACCAGCTAATGCCCAGGGGCATCAGGCTATGATTTTGGTTTCTGTGCCGGGTGCACCAGCAGCAGTGGCTTGGGAGGTCTCATCCGGACGGAGTGGACTTGCTGCAGACGTTTTTGGGTCTTGGCGAGCAGTAGGAACTCAGGGACGTTGTGTTGTTATTGCAGAGCCCCACGATGAAGATCCAGGAGCACCCCAGCATCCCTGACACCAAACTGCAGAGGACTCCTGATGCCGACACCCCGCAGGAGAGCTTCGTCCTGGAGGTGCCCCGTCTGGACCTGACCGCCTTGTGTGAGGAGAAGAGCTGGGCAGGTAGGGTCGCTGCCTGACGCTTGGGTGGTTTCATAAAGGAAAAGCGTATGTAAAGGAGTGTAGCCGAGAGGCGGGTGTGGGTGAGAGTGACAGCTCTGCATGCAGGAGTGACGGTGTTTCTAAACGCCTGAAAAATCCTTTCCCTGGCATAGGACGTGTCGTGTTTAGGGCTGCCAAGAGCAATTGCCCTCTAAGGGAGAAAATGTGTGTGCCCGCTCTCAGTGTCACCTTGCAGTCTTATTCTTTTTCCTTTTTCACTCACCGGGAGTGCTGCTGTGTGGAGCGTCTTCCCTCTAATAGTGCGAAGCAGCGTCCTAAGGGGCCGGTACACATTTAGGATTTCGTCTCAGTGTAACCCTTTGTCCCCCAACTGCGTGCCAGCCATCGACCTCCTTCATTAAATCTCCTTCCCATTTTTCAGGGCTGTTTTGGTTTGCTTTGTTGTGTTTCTGTGCTTGTTATTACAGACTTTTTAAAATCCAGATTAGCAAACGTAAGGGATCCGCTAATTAAAGAGGACTCTGCATTAAAGTGTTTCTTATTGATTGCCTCTCATACAGTGTTTCAGATGGTTTTCTCTAGAGATTTTTGGCTAGAAAAAATGTTAGAAATGTAAGGAAGAAGAGGGGATCCTCGTCATGTCAAAGCCGTGTTTCAGGAAGGATTTTGGAACAGTGTCACCAAGCTGCTGTTCTCTCGCTATCCATGTGTTCGCATCCAAACACAGATCAGTGCGTTTCCAGAACAAATGCCCATCTGCCTCTGTAGGCGTGCGTTTGAGGCTGCAGAGAGGGAGAAGCCAGGCTTCTAGGCTCAGAGCAGCACATGCCTTCACACAGTGACTTAGCAGAGAAGCACAACTGTGAGAAAGCAATCTTCTTAAAAGTGCCTGGGTTTCCTTGTTTCTTCTTCTCCTCCCCTCCTTTTTTATTTGTTTTAACCAAAAAGTACTCATTATGGTAATGATCTTAGATGAGCTACCAAATGGTGAACTAAAGAGACCACAAGGTGAACAATAGCAGTTCCATTATACTCCAGGCACCCGGGGCTTAATGAAGCGAAAGCTGTTTTTATTCCAGTTTTCCCTCTTTTCAATCTAAGAAACACATTCTAGTTCTTTGCATGTGTTTAGGCTGTAGGCTGAGATTTTTGTGAGATCTTCCCAGCTCATGATACATTCACTGGTGGGGAAAATTTCGAAATGCAGGATTTTTGTTTTGTTTTTAAGTGATACATTCCTGGTAGTATTTCGTTGTTCTTCTTTTGTTTTGTGTAGTTTGAAATAACTTGGTATGTTTTTAATTCAGGCATTATA